AATCAGCGGCGCCCCCCCCTCCGCCCTCCCCTCCCGCACGCCTCGGCGCGCTGCATCGGGCTCGGCGGCAGCGGCGAGCTGAGCGCGGCGGGAGTCTCCGCTCCCAGCCGGCACCGACAGTCGGGCGCGGCGGCGGCGGGGCTGGCAGGGCTGCCGAAGCATGCGGAGCCATGGGCCAGGGCTGCGGACACTCCATCCTCTGCCGGAGCCAGCCGTACCAGGCGGCCGCGTCTGACCTGTGAGTCCCCTCCCGCCGGCACCGGGGATGGGGGGACCACGACAGGAGGGAGGGATGCTCTGGGAGTGATGCTGGGCAAAGGAGGGAAGGAGACATCAGGGAGGCAGGAAAAAGTTCCTCCTGCCTGACAGCTGGCAGGGAGGAGGTGGCAGGGGAATGACAAGAGTCTGCGACCCCCCTTTCCCCCACCCTGTTCCCCACTTGCCACCTATGTTAACCCAGGGCAGGTCATCGCTGGTGTCCCTGTGACAGAGGGCTGGTGTGAACAGAATCTCCCTGTTTCCCCACCTCCCTCACCCCACGATCATTTCCTGCAGGGGTGGAAGGCTCCTGGCCCAGTGGTGGGCTGCAGGAGGGCCCTGGGTGACTTTGTGAAATGCAGGTCAGGCCTCTGAAGTGTGTTTTCAGTGGCTTCACGCAGGTCAAGAGAAGCCGCCCCTTGCACACCCACCCACGTACACAACAGGTCTGGGGGTCCCGGTGCCACAGTGCCTGTCTGCATGTGGCGAGGGGGGAATGGGGCTCCAGGGGTCACAGTGGTCTCGTTCTGCAGCAGAGACACCAGGGGCTTTGCATGAGAGCGTGGGGTGACCTTGCTGAGGGATGACAGTGCTCCCTGGAAGCGGGGAAGGGTGATGCTCTGAAGCGCCCACGTGGGAAGAGGGGCTGAGCTGGATAACGGGAATCTGGCGGCGCCTCAATTCCCGTGGCCCACGGGCTCGGCTGGGGCTGGCGGAGACCCCCCGGCTCTGCCCGCGCATGTGCGGCGCTCACGAGGCTCCACAGCTGCCGGGGAGCAGGCTGGGCACGGGCCACTCACGGGACGTGGGTGCTCTGCCTCCTGGGTACCGGGAGATCTGGGGTGCTCCCGGTCACTTCCCATCCTACCCCAGTGGGATCGGGCTCCACACTGCCAGAGGGTGAGCTGAACCACGGGAAAGGGATACAGGTGTAGGGCAACGAGGAGGGAGGCTGCTCAGTGCTTGGATTCCTTTGTCTGACAGTGCCAGCTCCACATGCTCGGGCTCTGGCTGAACTGCCTGGCTCAGCAGCTCACGCAGGGAGCACCGGGACCACCGCTCCCTGGGGGCACCTTGCTGCACTGGGATGTGCCCAGGAGCAGCCCCAGGTCTCCTGGAGCAGGTGCTTTAGGTGATGACAGGAGTATTGGGGTGCAGGGAAGTTGCTGCCCAGTCCTGCCCCAGCCCAACACATTACCCTCCAGCATCACCGGTTTTTGCACCTTCGTGAGGTCACCTTTGGATGAGAACTTTACCCCTCTCTGTAGAAAACACCCTCCAGCATCTCTGGAGTGTGGGGCTTGGACCCACCTTGTCAAGGCCCCAAGAGCTGCCAATCCTCCTACGCTGCCACGGGTGCTGGGTCTGTCTCTGCAGGCAGCATCCTTCCCCCAGCTCTCCCGGCTCACTCCCTGGTGCTGTGTGTGCTTTGTTCCCTGCAGAGATCCTTCCCTGGTGCTGCCTGCACATGTGCACGTGTCCTTTTCTTTAAGCAAAACACACAAAGGTCTTGAAATGCCATGCAGCCCCCATGTTCCCTCCGGCTGGAATGCCTCTGCTGCTTTCTAAAGGCTTTTAAAAAACGTAGATGACACAAAAACTTGGCACCCTCAAGGTGCCCCGGGCAGGAGAGGTGGGAATGGTGAGCCCAGCTGCTTCCCCCTTTTACCCGGGATATAACCACATGTCCCTCGTAGATATTTGTCCCTGTCCCTGCATACCCCGAGGGTTATACAGAAGTGGAAAAGCTTCCCAGGAGCTGTCAGAGGATGATGCCCTTGGCCCCGCAGCGCTGGCTGGAGGGGTGGCCGTGGTGAGCCCAGCGCTGCGGGGGGATGCTGCTGCCTCCCTGCTCCCGCTCCAACCCCCTGGTGTCCGATGCTGGCCCGGGAATGCCGCCGGGATCCAGCGGCGGCCCGGCTCTCCCACGTGCACGGTGCGTTTCATGCAGGGAGATGCAGGTGCAGCCAGCCAAGTGCCATTTTGCCTTATCCAGGTCACGTTTTAACCCATTTCCGCCTTTTCCCCCGGCGGGAAGCGGGTTCCCGGGTGGGCGGCCGCTGACCCGGTTAGCGGTGGGTGGGATGTCGGAGTGCCCGTAGCTGCTGCTGTCGCAGCATCCGAGAGCAGCCGGGGCAGGGGGAGAAGCCGCCGAGCTCTGTGGATGGAAAACACGAAGGAGGAGACGCTGCTTTGAGCATCCCTGCGGGAAGGACCCGGCTCAGCGGAGCTTGGGAGAGGTCAGGGCTCCCTTCGGGCCATGGGCAGGGCTGCCCGCCCCCCGCCCAGCCCTCCCTGCTGCCTGCTGCTTGTCTGGCAGCTGCCTGGCAGGAGCAGCCGCACAAATATGTGAGCTGGGCAAGTGTCACCGTGCTCAGCGCTGGGCCGGTGACAGGGTCAGTGCCAGGCACGTGAGGAGGAAGGACCGTGGCTGCAGCCACAGCTGGGATGAGGCTCCGTCCTGCCCGAGGCACGGCCGGGAGCCCCTGGGCAGCGGCAGAGGGACCAACCCCGTGTCCTGCGAGGGGGCAAAGATGGTTCTTATGCATCTTTGCAGGGGGGTGTTAGTCTGTGCTGGCTGTTCTAGGTCAATGCCAGGGCCCGCATGGTGTGTCCCCACCTCACTGCCAGAACCTGGATGATGTGTCCCCATCAAGGCTCATGCAAGGGTGATGTGTAACACTCCACCCCCATTTTACCTCCCTGATGCACCCAACGGGGAGCTGCTTTCTCTGGAGTCCCAGCCTGGAGGGTACCCGGGGGAGCAGCTGGAGGGGCTGATGGCACGAAGTGACATTTGTGATGCTGCTGATGTCCCTACCTGCCACTGCCCATGTGTCCTGGGAAGGGAAACTCTACTGCCTCCACACTGTGCATCCTCACACTCCTCCTGCTCGCCCCTCAGCACGCAGCCTGGGGGCATCCATGGCAGTTGGACTAGGTGACCTTTAAAGGTCCCTTCCAGCCCAAACCATTCCACAATTCTGTGGCTTGCTCCAGTGGCATTAGCCCTGCAGAAGCCAGAGAGCAAGGCTGGGACACGGGGGCACAAGCTGGGCTCAGCCACCTTTTGGAGCATCTGCAAAGGTGAGGGTGGGCTGTTGAGCCCCCTGGAGAACTCCCCAGACCCTCTGCTCTGTGGTTATTGCTGGTCCCTGGGCTGCATGTCTAAAGTGCCATGGAAAATACCGACTCCATCGCCCCATCAGCGTGGCTGGGGTGGCTCCACTTCCCAGGGAAAGGGGTTCAGTGGGGTGAGGGCAACCTGGACCCCCATTGCTGGGGTTCTCAGGTGACGTTCTCCAGGTTTTCCAAAGCCTCAGGCTCTTCTTGCCCCTGTATCTGGGGCTCTTCAGCATCACCCTCCTGCCCAGGCACCCAGCCCTGGAGCTTGGAGGTGCCTGGTAAGGGAATGGAGAGGAAACTCCTGGCTGTGAGCATCCTGCATCCTGCACCTCACCATGGAAGATCCCCAGGGTGAGCCAGGAGCCTCCCCTCTGTCACCCTGGGACATCCCCCTGAGCATCCTCAACTTCAGAACAACCATGGTTTGGAAGTGTTGGGAATCAGGCTCTGTTAGTGAGGGATCTCACCAAGTGTGTCCTGGCCATCATCTCCAGCAGAGCCCTGCACATTCCCCACGAGCTGTGTTGCTCTGGGGGCTCCGGGAGGCTGATCATCCATCTGGGAGTGAATGCAGGATTCCCCAGGGCAAGGATGGATGCAGCAGCCCTTTCCGGGAATCCTTCCTTCCTCCTCCTCCCCTCTGACCCTGGTCCCTGCTTTGGCTTTTGTCTCCTTTCCAGCTTCCATGTGGCTCAGCAGGAGCTGTGCTGGGCTGTGGCCAGAAATGCCGGCAGGGCCCGGAGCTGCCTGGGACTTTCTGCCTGTCCAGCTTTCTCCTGTCCTCCTTAATGGATGGACCTGTCCGGAGGGAGGAGTGAGGGGGATGGAGAGTGCTGGGAGATGCTTTGCCTGCCACTGCTCCATTGGCACAGCAGCAGGGGGGTCAGGGATGGAGAGGCTGCTGAGTGTGGGCAGCCTGGGGCTCGGATCACCTGGGTGATGATCCCAAGATTTGATGTTTGGGAGAGTTGGAGCCTGGACTGTGGGATGGACTGGATGGTTTGGGTTGGAAAGAATCTGAAAGCCCACCCAGTTCCAACTCCCCTGCCATGGGTAGGGACACCTTCCACCAGACCAGGTTGTTCCCTGTCCGACCTGGCCATGCAGGAAAGTGTGGGAAGGTGTTTGGGAACACCTTGTAGGAAGATGTCCCCAAGCCTTGTCACCCACATAGCACCCTGGAGGGATGGACCAGCACAGTGGTCTGTGGGACTTGCTGAATGCCAGCTCAGGAGTGTCCCTGAGGCTGATTGTTTGGCAGCAGCAGCCCTTGGTCCTGCTCCTGTCCCAAATCCTGCTCTCAGCCCCAAATGCTGCTCCTGTCCCCAGATCCTGCTCCCAGCCCAAAATGCTGATTCTGGACCCAAATCCTTGTGCCCTGTCTGCAGCACCAGTGTATGGAGTCAGAGGGGAGGAATGACTCGGGAGCATCCTGGGTGGGTTCAAGCCTTCTGGGTCTTTGTCAGTTTGTGTTTTCTATGATAAATCAAATAGAGAGAGGAGGAGGATTTGGAGGTGGGGTGGGGTGCATTTCCTACTGAAAATATTAACCCCTGATTTTTTGGCTGGTGCTGGGGAGGGGTTTAGGGCTCAGCCCGAGCATTGCAGCCATCGAGGACAGGCTCACCACGTGTTTTGGCATTCCCAAAGCCCTCTGCTCTCCAGATGTGCTGGAGGTCTGATGCACCTGAGGATGGCAAAGCAGCCAGTAGCTGCTGGTGCAGACCTGGCATGAAGTGCTGACTGAGCCAGAAACCTCCCCTGGCTCCCAGTCTCTTCCCAGCCCCTTCCCAGCCCCTTCCCAGGCTGTTATTAACTTGCACGTTTCAGCTGGGTGACTCAGAAGACACTGAG